AACGCACCGAACGCCAAGGCGCGAAGTTCGAATGCACATAGCGTCGATCCAGGCGCGCTGTGTTGTAGCCGGCTTGCGCTTTGAAGATGCGCGCTGTTAAATTCAGATTATCGCCCGAGCGATTGGGCTTGGGGTCCGGGCACTTGTGTGGCGTGAATAGGTCGAATTGTGGACACGTGGTCATCGGGTTGTTGCACAGGGCATGCTGATTCGTGAGATACTCGGTGACGATGGTGCCCAGCGTGATGCCCGTCTGGTTGCCGTGTTGCGGCGGCGGCGAGCCGCTCTCCGAACGCACGTCCTCTGGCAGTGAGGAGATTTGCTTTTGCAACGAACGCTGTGCATTCGCATTCGCAATGGCCAAGGCGCTGGCGCTGCTTGCGCTGCTGTTGATTTTCTCCGACTTTTTCACCAATTTAATGGGTGTTACCGCGCTGCTGCTGCTCGGCAGCTCGTCCAGCGTTACGCTGCTGTTCAGTTGCTGCTGGTCGCTGGTGGTTGAATTCGCTAAGCTCTGTATGGCATTGTTGACGTCTTGCATGCGGCTGCGCAGGCGCTGGCGCACCGTTGATGAAGGCAGCACTTTGTAGTCGAACGGCGATTGGTGGAAGCTCTTCGTCGTGTTCGCCGAGACCTGCGGCAGACCCGCCTCCTTTTGCAGCATTTGCGCCGTCTGTAGCAGACCCTTCGATTCCAGATGGTCGTGTATTAGCTGGTAAAGCTGCTGCTCGTTATACTGGATCTTCGTTTGCGCAATTACATTGGCTTTGTGTATGTTGGCGAGTGAGGGATCCATTTTGTTGGAGATGGGTTTTGTTTTGCCCGAGACGCGTTCAACGAGCTCGATGGCGTACTTCTGAAATAAGACATGCTCGGCGCGTTTCTCCTGCAGTATGGGATCGCGCATTAGCGTCTGTATCTGGCCGTTTGAAAAGAGTGTTAGTTTTCCGACGATTTGGCCCACGCGCTCGGAGCGTGCCAGGCCTGCCAAAGCGCGACAGGCCATGCCACGTATGCAGTCCGCATCGGTGATGGGCGCTTTGATTTGCATCAACGAGAGCAATATAATAATGCCGTTGTTGGAGCACACCGACTCCCACACCTTCTCGATTAGCTCTTCGCAATAGCGATTTGCTGGTCTGTTGCGCTTGGAAGAATTGAGCGCTTTCCCGGCGCTAGTTGGCTCTTTCTGCAAGACAAAAGAAGCCTTTAAAATGTAACTGTAATATTGTTGCTGTATTTAAGCATACCTTGGATGATGAGTGGAACACTTTCAAAGCGGTATTTGGTTCCTTCTGTAAGACAACGTATGATATGTAAGATTTTTATTCTAACTTTATAGAGCTAAGCTCACCCTTGATAGTGGGGCGCAGACGCAATGGACCAAGACGGCCAAAGCCGATTTTTGCACATCTGCGTCTGCCGTGATATCGCCCGAAGCAGCAGCCAATATGAAGTAAATACCTGAGGCACCGGCGCTATCCGGCACATCCAAGCGCTCGCAATAGACCTGGAATACGCGCGGTATGACACAGCATATGGACAGCACATCCAATGAGGAGCGCACTATTTCGGATCTAAAACGGACTGGTCATTAATATTGCACTTTTGGAAATGTTTTTCAAGAAAAAAAAAAAAAAAAAAAATTTTTTTAAGGAATTTACTACAAACATACCTGACGCTGTTGTTCCAGTCGTAGGAGAGTGCTATGATTTTCAGCAGCAGCGTTATGCCGCTCACTTTCAATAGCTTGTCCACGGGCGCCCAATGTGCGCGCACCGATGTGTTCTCCTGTAAAGTGCGTACTTGTTCGCTGATCTGCTCCAGGGTCAGTTTGGCGCCTTTGGTGACATTATGCTGCGAGAACTCGTTGGAAAACAGGCATTGCGAACGCATGAAGTTATTGTACTTGTAGAAGAGGTGACTCTCCATGTAGCGTTTGAGTGCCACGCACACATGGCGCACGAGTTGACGTGAAGCACACTCCAAGTCATCATTGATGGGGTTCTCGTCGTCATCGTTGTTTGATGGATTCAAAATTTTAAGTATCGAAATCTAATAGAACGAAAACTCGTCTTACAATGCCGTTAGTGCATAATATAGTGCAAATACATACCACATTGTAGAGTTTCCGCAGACCATCTTGCGCATCGAACTCGTCCAAAATGACTTTGAATTGAAAACTGAGGCCAAAGAACATGGTCGCATGACAGACGCCCGAGTCATAAGAGCGTTCCATTAGCCACAGCGCATAGTGCACTAATTCGACTATCACAGTTCGTGGCATGCTGCATATGCGCTCCATGGCCTCTTCGCAGTAGGCGAGGTAGTAGAGATTTATTGAAACACCGGTAGCTGCAATGCTAGGACGCGGCACTTTAAGCAGCAACTAAAATTTTGTAAAATTGATTAATTTCTGTAAATATGTATACAGTCAAAAAAGTGGCATTTACCTCCAGTCCGCCGTGTGCGATGAATTCCAAAGCGAATTTTTTATGGCACAGCAATGAAGCCAGATATTTTAGCGCCTCAAATGCCAGGCATGTGTCACGTCTGTCCATTTCTTCCAAATAGCCGAACACTAAATGCATAGCACGATGTTCGAAAACCAAACCTAAATAGTCTTGATGATTGCCGAGTGATGTTAAATACCGTAACATTAGCATTTGGCTCGATTCGACGGTGGGCGGATGTAGGGGTATGTACATTTTCTTGTAGTAACGCGAGCCGCTGCCTTGTGGGAAGGCATCGCGACTGTTCTCCAGCAAAGTCGACATGTTCGAATTCGAACAATTTGTATCCAATAATGTACTCTTTGAAGCTTGCGATGTTGATGCTTTGGCATCGTTCTCTGATTGGGGCGATGACACAAAAGAGGCGTCGTTATTGCTCCATGGTGGCAGTAGTTTTTCAAATGAAATATTATCCTCTAAGCTGGAATCGGATGGCGGTAGTGTAAGCGTTGAAAGGCTACATTCATTGCCAGAGTGGTAGATCGCTTGTAACATATGCAGACGCTTCAGCGTTTTGGGTATGAGGCGAATATTGTGTTCCTTGAATGACACTGCTATTTCGGTTACCTCCATAGCTGCGCCTAGCAGACCGGTGGCATAACTTTGTAACGGCTCAATACTATCTTCGGCCCAACCGAAAATTCTATGAATCAGATGCTCGAATTCGCCTTGGAATACGGCAGATGTCTCCAAACCAGGCGCAATTATGAATATTAGGCGACATGATAGTATATTGAGTTCTAAGGAACTTTTTTGTATATTTTGGCGTGTAAAGAAATTATCACGCAGATAATCACTTACTAGCTAAAAGTCAACGAGTAAATTAATAACGGAGTTTTGTCAAAAGTCAACTCATTGTATACGTTACCTTACTAACGAACACATCTTTGCGGAAGAGCTGCTTTAGTAGTACACCAAATTGGCACTTGGGATCAGTACGATAAGGATGTCGATCCTCAAATGGATCGTGATCTTTACGCATATAAAGTTCTTTTTCCTTTTCGAAGATTTCGGCCAATCTAAATGAAGAGTTATAATAGTTATTTTTATTATTATTTGCATAGGCAACGTTCAATTAAATATTTATCTACTCAAATGAAAGTGCCGTTCGCTCATTTAAGTACTAAACTATTTTTAGATTTTTTTAATCACTCATTTCGATAAAATAATAAATAAATTACAAAATAAAAGTAATAACAAAAACATGCATACAACAATCTAGAAAGACAACAAATAAAAGCATGATTTTCTCTGCTTTATTTTTGCAAGCAGTAAAAAACCTGTTTGCGTGCATAAGATTAGACGAACAAACCTAAAGGTATGTGCATATGTATGCGTGCAGTCATTTACCTTTTCAACACTGGCACTGGATCGAATCCGGAACGTGTATGTTGTGCTTCCCAAATTTGCAGCACTTGCGACATATCTTTGTTATCGAAATTTGGTTCTTCATCTTCGAAACCATAAAATGGATCGGCCTCAGCAGCTGCCCCAGCTGCACCTTCTTCATTTTCGCCTGCCTCTGCATTTGCCGCATCCCCATTAGCTTCGTTCGGACCATTAGCTGCATTCTCCTCAGCTGCGTTCATCTCCGTATCTGCGTCTGCATTTGGTTCTGCTGGTGTTTGCTCATCATGTGCATCACTGGCAACTTCAATACTGTTCGCATCCTGATTTTGCGTCGTAGTCCCTGCTGCAAGCGCTGTTGACGTTGTTGGCTGAATTTCTTCTGCATCACGCATTTCCGCATCACCTTGTTGATGCTCAACTGGCTCTACGTTGTTGGGCGGCATTTAATGCCACAACTTTATCTTTTTGTACAAATCTAGTCCTAACCTAACAAAACTTTCCCACACGTCGAGGCAAAGAACGGAAGTTTTCCTTCTTTTGAGTTCGCGTGTACAATTTAACGTTGTTGTTGTTGTTGTTATAATCACCCCTTTCAATTTTTTGCGAAATTGGTATTCAGTACAATTCAAGGTTAACACTAATTCGGAATTCGACGGAAAACTTTTCACTTCTGTTTATAAACAAATATTTTTGTTAATATGCACTTATTTTTTGTAATTAAATAAAGAAACAAAAATCGTAAAACTATGCTTAAACTTGTGTTTCACATAAAAGAAATTCCACTGAACTAAGCAGAAGGAAAATGCACGCGCTTTTTTCGCTGCTGTCAAATTGGTACTGTGCTGGTGCTGCCACATCAGCATATCAAGTTATTTATTGCAATAAAAAGACATTTGCTTAAGGTACACACGGATAACACAACACAACATTTATAAGTAAGTATACATAAGACATAAATTTTAAACATTTATTACATTAACTTTGCTAGCCTTTATGCACTTTTACGTCAGAAATTGAATTTTTTAACTTCTTGTTAGTTTCGAATATGGCACGCTTCAAGCTTTTTCTTTTTTGTTTACCCGATTCCTGGATTGAATGATTGACTGAAACAGCTGATTCACAAACTTCAAATAGGCGGTCGCTGACGTTTTACTTTTGTATTTCTTTCTTAATAAACAAAATTTCCAATTTGTATAAAATCATCAACTGTATAGAATAATAGGGAAAACAAATTGTGGAATAAGTTTAACATGTCTTTTCTATATATATTGAGTTGGGTATCCACGGTGATACATATTGTTTTCATCACAATATCGATTGGTACGCAAGAATATATGACCTTATGCAGGAACTAATTGTTTATTTATTATAGCGGCGGGTCTGTACTATGTCGCTGAATTGGTGGAAGAGTACACCCAAACTGCTCGAAAGGTCATTACAATGATGATCAGCGCAACAGTATTTGTGTATATAATGTTCATATTCTTTGACAACTTACCATGGAAGATGATACTGTGTGGGCTTGCAGCGCAAATGTTTCACGGGATAATCATGAGTAACTTCCCATTCATACGATTCATCTCAGTTCCTTTTACTGGCGCAATAGTATTACTGATTATTAACCATATGTTGGCCTTCCAGTACTTCACCAGCTATTATTATCCCTTCCTACAGGTAGGCGCTGAATACAATTTTCTTATATATAGATATTCAAAAATATATATTAATTTTAGATTTTGGCATATTTTACAATATGTCTCTGGCTGGTGCCATTTGCACTTTTCGTGTCCTTGAGCGCAAACGATAATGTGCTGCCGACTACGGTTAATGACAGTATGGGTAGGTTATATGATTATACTTGTTGCTTGAAATTGCTGACTCAATATAATTGTAGGAAGCCAAGACGTGGTTACGAATTATTTCAGCCGTGGGAAAAAACAAGGACTGTTGTCGCTTTTTAACTATGCTAAGGATAGTTTATTACCGACAAGAAACAAGAAATCTTTCTGAGAATTCCTGCCTGTAAATTCGGAAAATGTGGACTGCTACCAAAACATACTTTGTTAAGTTGAAAAAGCTTGGTAATTGCATTATTTATTAATTAAACATAAATTATAGAATTTACACCGAAACTTTGTGTATTTTATTTTCACTTGTGTGTCAAGAAACGTAAAAAATTTAAGAACATAAAAATTTAACAACTAAGTACATCCATAAAATCATGCGTATAAATTCGCGAAATTTATCCTGAGTGTTTGGATTCTGCATTCTTACATTAAGTAAATTACTTATCCTGTGTCTTAACGCTACCGTCATTCATGCCGAAATAAGCTTTGGCTGCCATATTCACAAATAATCCCGTTTCGACTACTCCCGGTATTTGCAGCAGCTCGCTGTTAACCTTTGCCCAGTCACAGTCGCAATTTTGCTTGAAGTGCCAGTCGAGTATGAAATTACCATTATCTGTTACGCAGGGTCCGGCCTTAGCCACTGCCATGCGAAGTTTGAGCTCTCCGCCATATTTAGCAGCAATCCGCTCTCTTATCGGCACATATGCCATTGGCACTACCTCAATGGGTATGCCCTTTTTGTACTGTTCACCCAAATGTTCTGAATTTTTTGTATAATCTGCTATTATTATTAACTTTTCCGCGCAAGATGCTACAATTTTTTCCAGCAATAAACAACCACCACCACCTTTTATAAGTACCATATTCCGATCCACTTCGTCGGCGCCATCGATTGCCACTGCAAGTTTAGGATTGCGGTCTAGATCACCGAGTACCAAATTATTTTCCACAATGAGTTGACGTGCTTGAAAGCTTGTTGGCACACATGTAACCTTTAAACCTTCTTTTTGCACTCGTTCAGCAAGGCGCTCCACAGCAAATACCACGGTTGAGCCACTACCAATACCTATGACGGTATTTGTCTTTACCCACTCGTCGACGGCGCGGTGAGCGGCAATGCGTTTTGCTTCGTTCAATGACATATTTGAACTTGAGGCGGTCCTTTGCAAGACTGTTTTCGAGAAGCTGCTTAGTGTTTTCCTTGTGAATTTTTGAAGATTAGAGTTGTAGTGTACTACTTTTAGTAAAGTTATCACTGGCGTCCTTGTCATGTGCTGGCGTTAAATGCAATGCATTAAGGGTATTAATTATTAATAGCGGAACAAGTATAAACTTTAGATATATGTAACCAAAACAGTTTACTGAAGTTATTGAATGAACTTGGAATTATTATCAGTTTGTTTTATTCCTCTTTACTATCTCTTCGCTTGCTTTACGTTAGAGAACAGCTGCTTCGCACGTGTCTGCCGCGCTGTGTTTAATTTGTACAGTGTGCCTCACACACTTCGCCGTTATTTTGGAAAATGTCTATTTCTAGATATTTATATTTTTGTACGAAGTACTAAGGAAAAATTAGCTTGTATTGTTATTAATTTTGAATTCGTTTATTACTCGTTTTCTCATTTCCAAAACTCTTTTTACTGTAATGGCCGATTCCCATAGCATAACTTTCCTCGCTTTGCTTGAAGTTAGTCCCTCAATAACAAAGCGAAGAAATTGAAGATATGTTAGAATGAATGCTTTGCTTTCCGTGCAATTCTTTAATAAAAGGGGCGACTGTTGCTTGGAAAAAAGTGAAAAGGTGAAAGTCGTCCAACAGTTTGTTTCGCTTAGTCGCGTTGTGCTTCAATGTGAACGTTCTCATACGATTAGATATCTACTCCAGCGAAGGTTCAGGTCCTACCGTGTTAGTGGATGCTGTGGATCGGTCGAGTTCATACCCAGTTGGTACTCAGCTATACCTCTGTGACCGGGCACCCAGATGAGGTGCACATGGTTACGTTCCGATAGGCTATTCAGCGGTTCTCTACACGCCTGCACCATTAGCGATGGTTTTAGTGCTGCTTCACTATCGCTAACTATGGTTATACGTTTGTTGCGATAGTTGCGTTGGAAGTTTATCTTTATGCAACGACTTATGCTAAAGACCTTTGTTTGAAAAATTATCTGAAAACTTCCCATAGGTATGGAGAGCTTGGTGGGTGGTCCTGCGACCCCTGCATCCATTCCCTCCGACACTTTCGAGCCGTCAGTATGCCACTTGATCGTACTATCCTTAAGCAGTAGCCCGAGAGTGGAATCATTCCATTCAGCCTTGCTGCCAAGACCATTTTAGTAATGCTGACCTTTGGGAGAATTGCCAATGGTATAGTACCACTTAATACTTTCATCCGCTGGGAAGAGATTTCCTTACCTCTGCCACACTCTTCATTTGTAGAAATGTGTGCTTGTCTACCTGATCGATCACTAGACTTCAAGATGAGATCAAGATACCTGGTCATATACAAGAACCGGTATAGTCTCTGTCCCAGTAAAAGAAGTGTAAACATTTGTTATGCTGTAGCCAAGGGCAATTCGTGTAACTCTTTCCTGAATTCATTTTAGGTTGTATTTAAGCAGCTGGGCACTAACCCAGTTTCAGTTCAGTCTGGCGCAATGAAGTCCAGCTCAGCGGTTTTATTATAACTCGGACGCAATACCGTCGGACTCAGCAGATAAATATTCAGTCTTCTGTGGCTTTATTGTACTCAACATCTACGCCCTCAATAAAGAGAATTAAGCATGCAGAGGATTAGGCACTGTCAAATTGTATCAATATACCCACTTTGTCTCCATCCAAGATAATTTGGAGTGCAACCGGTCGCGTGCCAGCAAGTCTTGTTTAAGCTTTACATATCTTTCCAAAAATATTGTTATTATTGTACGGCGATGAGTATGCGTATGTAGATTCTTCTTTGATACTGCAAAAATCGTTGATGTCATCAAAATGACACTCCCGAACAGGCAAATGAGTACAAAGGCAGCTCCGCCTCTTTCGCGCATATCAAAATAGACTAAAGCACGAAAATAACCGAATTACCTCCTTCAATTGTGGCTGAATAGTGCTTTAGTAGTATATTTATTGTGTCGCAACCGCCCACTCATTTTGACACACACAAGCATTTCGTCAATAATGTCAATCAAACCGTTCGCCGACGCCAAGGCGTTGTTGTTTCTGGCGTGCATACTTTCTCCGTTACGTCATGTACGGCTGTGGGGGGGAAGCATTTTGAGCCGTTTTCTTTTTTGTGTCTCAATTCTTTACCTCTTGACTGCCGCTGATTAGAGGGAGTCCAGGATTAGAGTGCATTAAGGGCGTTTCCAAGCGAACCCCTTACCCATACTACATACTCAGCAACTTATCAGCACATACCGCATGTGTGTATACATATTTACTGTTAAAAACTTGCTTGCTCCATTTGTAATTTGCAATTTTCCAATTCATTTGAAAATTTGTTTGCCTCTTTCTTGTATGATTGTTATGAGCGCGTATTTCGCTGGCTTTTCTTTCCACTTTCCACTTTCCCTTGTTTCATGGCTTTATTTATCTAGTATTGTACTCGTAAAACTTTTGATGGGGAGGCATGTTGGAGTAACGAAATTGTGAGTACCTATTTACTAGACTTCAACAGTAGGCGACACACGTAGCCATCGCTTGGAGGCGCATTTGGCCGAATGCGCTGAACCCAGTATCCAATTTATGGGACTGCAGAAGTTTTTTGAAATAAAGTCTGACGTTCAGCGACGGCTTATCATTTGCGAAGCTTAAATTTTTTGGGATCTTGCAATATAAAGTTCCCAAGAGCATCAATAGCTCCCGGGACAACAACTGATTTTGGACAACCTTCATGCAATTGGTCTTGGAGCGATCTACGACCTCGATTTTAATCACTATTACATCGCTATAACATCGATAACGACTGGTTCTTGGTGGAGCTTCATTGCCAAAAATTGAACAAAGTACATCGATGCCCTGTTGCTGAGTTAAACCTTGTATAGCTATCGAGCTAAAAATATAGCGTTCCTTAGAGCAGAGATACACTATTAAATTCTGTGTGAAACTCGGTAAATCTATGACGAAGACGTTTGATATGAGCAAGCAGGCTTACCCAGATGTTCCTTTAGCAAGAAGTGGTGTGTTTCGGTGGCATCAGTCCTTTTTGGAGAGCCGGGACGAGGTCGCTGATGAAGACCGTGCAATGAGCAAATCCAAAGTGAAAACGATGCTCATTATCATTTTGATAACGAATTTGTTCCTTCTGAATCAACCGTCAACGCCAAGTTTTACGTGGAAGTCCTCAGGAGACCCAAACGAAGGGTCAATCGGGTTCGACAAGACATCGCAGCCGCTTGGAAGTTGTTTACGACAATGCCTCGTCATATACCGCTGATCTACAGCCCAGACAACGGGGATCCAAACAGCCCAGACAACGGGGATCCAAACAGCGGCTCTCAAGGCTAATCTTAAGAATGCCTTCCGTGACTCTTTCAATGCTTGGAAATCGCGCTGGCAGCGCTGCATCGACGTAAAAGGAGCTTATTTTGAAAGTTTTTAAAGAAATGTAACAATTGGTTCAATACATTTTTTTTAAATCGACTCAGTCCTATTACCTTCCGGATAAACCCTGTATATCGTCACAAAGTAAGTGGTTTCATAAGTAGTTCTGTTAACGTGCAGTTTACTGGTTGGTATGTAAGTGACTTCAGAAGTTTTACATTTTCGCGAATTTCGAAAACTTCCAAAGGCGGAAAATGCGACAGTCTTTATAACTGAAAAAGCAGTATGTAAGAAAACTATAAAACTCGAACTTATTAAAGAAATGCTAAGCGCGGTAACTCAGAGCCTTTGCACGAGAGCAACGCAATTCAATTACAGGCTTCATTAAATCGACTTACGCGCATTACTTGTCGCGTTGCCGCTGGCATTGCGTTGTAAGTCGAATAACAGCTATTTAACCCTTTAGCAACCAAAGGACCTCCATACATACAAACATATACGTACTTAAGTTAAAGCATTTCAAGCGGCTCTACTGTGAAGACACAAACAAATATTTGCTGAAAGAAAAATTAAAATGCAGATGTCAGCAAATAACCCAGTTTAGCGCACTCCTCCAACATGGTAGCTGACATTTGCACTAAAATTCCCATTACTCAACTCAACTTTGGTGGGCGAATCGTCGAACTTGAAAGTCTGCTGTCTGGAGCTGAAGAAAGTTGCACGAGTTGTGATTTTTCGATTTTCG